GGCTATCGCCTTATTTGGACATGCGCGTCACAACCTCGATTTCAGGTTGTCCCATCTGCGCATGCGCCAGGTTTCGCGAATATCGGCCATCTTGGATTTTAAATTTTAAGAGAATGTATGGGAAAAAAGTGGTCACGTGGTATGATCCCTGCACGCTGATTGGTTACGGCCCCAACGAGCGTATATGACTACTCTCAGCACAGATAACTAAACTAGCTATCGTGAATTGTGTAAGATAAGAAATAAACACAAAAACCGTGAGGACAAAAACATAAACTTGAGCTTGAAGTAAAATATGCCGGAGCCGATCACGACGGCATTACAAAATCCCAGTTGAAAAATAAATGTTAAAATGCTTCAGTACTCCAAAGCGAAACGCGAAGAAGGACCCAACAAGACGTCCTAAAAACCTGCAACATCTTACTTTTGAAGACGAAAGGTGCATAACAGCAAGCGTTCTACTTCTGCGAAAAAGAAAAGCTTAGAGGTTAGATTGTTCACCAACAAGACGGGGAAAAACAATAAACCTGAAAGAGGCTGGTGTTGACCAGGTGAAATATTGTAAAGCAACTCCGCTCTTTTACACGTTATTTGACCAGTCTTTGGCCTTGCAGTATTTTCGTTTATAATATGGCTGAACTGGTCCGTGACGAAAAGGAAGCTTCTGATTGGTTCCCTTATTGCAGTGCAGGCCGCTAAGACGGGCCGCTCACGAATTAAGACTGTTTTTTACTACGCATAAGCAACATACGTAGCCTTTTGTAGAGAAATTTTCCTATCAAAAGGTGCCATTTACCAACAACTTATTGCGCCTCAGGGGCGTAGCCAGGATTTTTCAAAGCGGGGGTCACACTGTGTCCAAGTAAGGGTACTCAGCAGATTGTCATGGCGTTTTCGCCACCTGTTGTAGGCTGTTTGCTTAAAAAAGGCTTACAAAAGGGGGGGTCACGGGCATCCCAGGACCCCCCCTAGCTACGCCCCTGCGTCTGCTTATGTTGGCTTATGGTTATGCTTATGCACTATTGAAAACAAACCTTTAATTTCGGCGACTTGTTTCTTTCAATTCATTGCACAAAATAAACAGGTTTTTGTTAAGTAGAAATCTTTTTACCTTCTTGTTTGGAGGCCGATTTCAGTTAAATGATCACAAAAGCGACGATAGAAAAGTAAATAAATGCTTACCTTTAATTTCGCGCGCGCGTTTACCGAGAATGGATCGCGGAGACGCATCAATTTATCAGCAGATTAAAAAGAGCCATTATAACAAATACCTTATTGAACTAGCTTGGTCTCGTTCTGCAAAAATGACGACCTCGAACAACATTTCCCCAATACGAGAATAATAAAAGTACGGCTCATAACCATATTTGGTGAACATATAAGTCTTTTAAATATTTCAGTATTTTTTGACCGGTCACGATCAACTTTGATCCTTGATCGTACATGGTTACTGCAGTGGCTTCAAAACCTTAAGAAGCTATACTATTAAGTTAATCCTTGCTCTTTACTGCGCCTTTCAATAACATGCGGACTCTAAAATTCAAAGCTCAACCGACAAATGCGTTTTTCGCTACTGTCAATCAAATGTTCGGCGGCTTCTCCCAGCTTCCGATTATGTTGTCTGAACTGTGCTCAACGATTTGATTGATTGCCGCCGGCTCGGCAGTAGTCGGAATCTGGGAGAAGACGCCGAATATTTGATTGACGGTAGCGAAAAACGCATTTGTCGGTTGAGCTTTAAATTTTAGAGTCCGCATGTTATTGAAAGGCGCAGTAAAGTAAACCAGATATTTCAAGCAGGTCTTAATTGCTGTGACCTTGTCTTAGTGTCAAGCATATCAGTGAGCAATTCTTTTTCAGTCAAAGTAACTTCAAGGCTTTATACCTAAAATGACAACTAATCCTGAAGGGGACTCGGGCTGTTTTGCTTGAATATCAACAAATCCTTGTTTTTCTAAAAGCTCTTTGTATTCTGTCGCCGTTCGTTCCTTGCCATGGGTCTGCACAAGCATGTTTAGGGACTGTAGAAGAGTACCTCGAGGTCCTGTTTTGTTTTCGTTCAAGAACCTTTCAGCAATGAGAAGACAACCACCTAACAAACACAACAAATCAAGTTACTACCAAGTATAATGGCCTGAGCAATACGGTGGTGGTGGTGGGTGGGTGGGGAGGAGGTACACCCCATAACGCCCTATGCAGGGAGGCTCGCCCAAAAGAGGTACTTTTTTCAGCCTTCAGGGTACAAGAAAGGGTAGGAAAATCTGACGTTTCGATATAACGTGAGCAGGAAATGAATAAATGAAACCTCATTTCGTGGTTAACATGCCTAATGTTCTCCCGTAGTATTGTTCATTAACTTTATTCTAAGGGTTTTAGAAAAGGGATACAGTGGTCTTAAGTACGCACGTGAAAGGGGTAGCTTTTTTCAATCAAAGGTAAAGGAAAGTGGTACCTTTTCTGTCAGAATGGTAAACAAAAGGGTAAAGAGTTTGACCTCTGGGCAAAGCCTCCTTGTACAAAGCTTTGTAGAGTATATCCACCGCAGAGCAATAAGGCAAAATTGTTTAAACAGCCAGATTGTGTCTTCTATGCATTGCACCCTTTACATACCTTGAGTGATAAGACCTTCAATGCTACATGAATTGGTGAGACATGCTTTAACCTCTTATAACCCAAGGTCTCTTTGAGCTGGCTAGTTTTCCACGCCTTGAATTGTGTGGTACTAGAAAATATCCACACCTGCCCATGGAGGGTCATTGGACAATCCAAGGGGGTGGGGTATCTCAAAAGCCGAAAGTTTTAAAGGAAAGTATGAAGCTAAACAGAAATTTCCAGAGGGGTATAGGGGGTTTAAACCAAAAACCCTTCCATTTGGGGAGGGTGTGGATAGTTTCTCAAACAATACAATGAAATACCTGGAGACAAACACTTGAATGCATTTGAGAGTATCAAGCCCACTTTTTCTTCCGGCCAATCAGGAAGTACACGGCACAATATGTACAAATCAGCCTTAGGCAGGTCAGGCTGCAGGAAATCACCTGCAACATACGAAACATTTTCTTGATTGGGGCAATCTTCCAAAGATGGACGAAAATGATGAGCGACATCCATAACTGACTGCAGTTCACACACTGTGATCTTCATGTTAGGGTAATACTGACACAAAGTGTATGCCATAGCTCCTGTTCCACCTGGATATAAAAAGGGCAACATGTTATGTACAGCAAATATAACAAGAACATAGGAAGTTAGCCTGGATACCAGGCACAAAGTGTAGTACCTAAATCTGACAGGTACAAATGAGGGAGATTGGGCAGATGCATGCATATATTAGTTATATGTCCCAGACTAGATACTTGTTTTTTCCTCACAGTGCCTCCTCAGTCTACCCAGGAATATATGGATACCTAAAGCGTAGTGGTTTAGAGGTCCTGGTAGGAACAAGGTGGGGGAGGTGGTGGTGGTGGTGGGGTGCGGGGTCTACCACGTGTTGCTATCTAAATTTCAAACCTTTTCTTATGATTTTTGAATATGTCAGTCACCTCATTTCAACATTCGTCATGTCATTCATTGTCATTTCAACAGCCTGCATGTCGCTGTTTCAACACTATTCATCTGTCAGAATTTTACCTTAACCCCAGGTCTCAGTTAAGCCAACCTGTCGAAATGCGACATACACAACAGGAATCGCAAATACTCATTGCCACTTCATGCCACTAGGCCCAGAAAAGAACTTACTCTCTCATTTATCCCCATAGCAATGGCTGGCACAAAAGACAGCAAAAAAAATGAACTTACTTTATGCTTTATTTTATTACTCTTGCATCTGCTATGCAGGGTAAAACAAGTTAGAAACATAAGTCGTCATATACAACTATCAGCCTGAAACCTTTAAAAATGTTTCATTTCCCATTGCACCTTCTCTTGTAAAAGTGAGTTGGTTGGTTGAGAGAGAATGAAAGAAAAGGGAACAAAGGAAATTAACAAATGAACAATTCCAAGTGACTCTTGATTTTAAATTACTTCATTAGTTTTTGGGGGGCTCCCACATATTTGTGGCCCCAAGGGTCAGAAAAAGTTTTGAGATCAAACCTTGTAAAGTGGTCTGAATCCTCCTCTAACTGCTATAAATGGCATTAGCTTTTAAAACTTGGAAAAACCTGAACGATGGGAGCTAAAAGATGGGGCCAGCCAGAAGATGGCAATTCCAGAAACAAATCATTTTTTGAAAAAAAATAAATAAATAAAAAGGTCTTAACTTTTGCTGATAACACTACTTATGATTCTTTGGCTTGCATTGCTGACAGAAAGGCTCTGTTTCTCCTTTAATATCTGTAACACGAAGGAAGCAGTTCCAATCTGTACTTACCCCCTAAGTCGCAACAGGATTGAAACTTGCTCAAGTCAAATGCCGTTACCACTGCGTGACAGGAATGGCGTGACGTTGAATGCATGGCTCCAAGAAATCGTAAACGGTCTTCTTCGGTGTTGTAGGCGGCTTTCCACGCATCTTCTGATGATTGGCCAAAAGTATTCATCCACTGATTCGATCCATCGCGAACTGCACTTTCTAAATTACTGAAAAGATGGTACAACAGTTTATTTGAGTGTTTGATGTAACCATCAACAGAATTGGGGCTTGACTTGGTCAGAAACTCCTTGGCCATTTCGGTATTGGAATACAACCACGATTCGCCTTGTTTGGTCTTTTCTAACAACTCCAGAGCAACCAAAGTGTCCATTAAACGTGTTGTAGCATCCACATTGGCTCTCATCTTTGAAGATATCTCATTAGCTGACTGAGGACCACTGGACTCGTGTAATAAATCGAAAATACCGAGATCACATGCTGCAAACAGCGCTTTGGATTCACGAAAAGCGTAAATCAGTTCTTGAAGTTTAGTAGGGACTGCTGGAGGAACTACGATCTCTTTTCTGCCATCCATAGCCCGTGTGGTGTATATAGTTCGAATGAGACGAGGAAAAACAACCTTCAATCGGCTTCCCATTGGACTCCAAGATTGCAAAAGCATGGAACGAGCGAAATTTCGAGAGGGCTTGGACACGGGTAGTCTCTTACGTGGTTATGAAAGTTTCTTCTCCTTCACAGACTTCACATGTAATAGTGCGTCATCCATGTCTTGTCCTATTTCCTTCTAGTCTGAAATGTCTCACCTCATTATCCCTGCCTGATTTGAGAGGAACAACTGCCAAAGGTCTACGCGCGGAAAGGTTCTACAAGTTTTAAGGGGCGCATCGTTTTATTACGTCCTAGGGAGGGGCGGTGGTTTTCAAACTATCATTCACATTTCTTCGCATGATTTCTCATCCATATTCATCACCTGGAGCTCTACACAATCTCGTTCCAATTTAAGGATGCCATTTTGACTTGCCGGATTGCTGAGCGACCAGGCTTCTGCAGGCTGCAGCAAAAACGGGGCTGGATCGTCGATTACTGATCATCTGATACTCGCTGGGCTCATTAATCCTAGCAATTATTGTTACCTGCATGAGGAAATGCTTTTTCCCCTGTTATCCCCACTCTCGCTTCAAGAACTACCAGTGAGAAATTTTCCTTTATTAATCATAACAATTACAAATTCCTGAAATGTGATTGGTGCATAAACTGGTGTATTTTGCTCTAATTAATCTGCAAAGTTATAATCATACAGTGTAATTGGACAGTTGGCTGTAATCGGACACCTGGAATCAGACAGTTAACATGAGCCAATCATTTTAAGTCGTCTCCACTAAATCAATCAATAACAACATTGATTACAGTCACAATAGTAACCAATTCAAGAGACTGACTTTGTAAAATTGTGATGGTTTAGTTTCCAGTGACTGTTTTGAAAGAAACTTTAAAACAGCCATTGTGCAAGCTATTCCCATATTCTTAATTATGTTATACTGCCGTTGCTGTGTCAAAATTTGACCCCCCTCACGTTTCTTACTAGTGAAAAATTTACCCCCCAAAAAGGGGCTTGCTTTCTCTGTGTAATTTCCAGCATACTTTTTAAATTTTCTGGAACAATTTCTGCTTGAAAATATATTTCTCTTGAGCTAGCTAGGTAAGTGTTCACTCGGGTGAAAAATGGAGAGGGGAAAATGGGGAAAGCAAGGATCCCACATTTGGATCTTGAAGGAAGGCAAAAAGTACAGTAGGGGGAAGTAGGAATGGAAGGAACAGTAGGAATGGAGGAAACAAAGAATGGAAGGAACAGAGGAACAGCAGGAACCATAGGAACAGAGGAACAGTTTTTAGCTTTTATTACTTCTGTATTTTAGACATTTGATGTATATTTTGGACTTTAATTTTTTAGAGGACCCTCCTGCAAACCACCGCTAGGTGATTGGAGGCCTCCTCTCAAAATACAAATTTATTATGAATTTGTTATTTTAGTGGGACCAGTAGGAACAAAGGAACAGTAGGAATGCAGGGAAGGAGGAATGGTAGGAACAGGGGAACAGTAGGGAGGAACAATAGGAATAGTAATAAGAAAGGGAACAGTGGTGTCGTTCATGCTGTTCCTACTGTTCCTACCATTCCTGTTGTTCCCACTGTTCCCACTGAACCTACTGTCCCTACTATTCTTACAGTTCCTCTGATCCTACCATTCCTACCATAAATTATTCCAACTGTTCCTGTTGCTCTCTATTGCATCATCAGTCAGATCATTGTACAAGGCTAGGAGACAGTCAAAGTTACTTCAAGCCTTTCTACATAAAATGGCAACATATCCTGAAGGGGACTTGGGCTGTTTTGCTTGAATGTCAACAAATCCTTGTTCCTCTAAAAGCTCTTTGTATTCTGTCGCCGTTCGTTCCTTGCCATGGGTCTGCACAAGCATGTTAAGGGACTGTAGAAGAGTACTTCTGGGTCCTGTTTTGTTTTCGTTCAAGAACCTTTCAGCAATGAGAAGACCACCACCTTGCAAAACATAACAAATCAAGTTACTACCAAGTATTATGTCCAGTGTGGAGGCATGGTGGCTGCATGGTTAGTGTGCTCATGTCTGGATTGAGCAGTCTGGGTTTGAGACCTGGCCACTGAGATTTTGTTGTGTTCTTGGGCAAGGAACTTAACTCTCACACTGCCTCTCTCCACCCAGGTGTATAAATCGGTACCAGCGAGTTTAATACTGGGGAGAGGATCCTGTGATGGACTAGTGACCCATACATGGGGAGTGCAAATACTACTCCTTGTTAACTCATGCTACAGAAACCGGAGATAAGCGCCAGCCTCATAAGCCACTTGAGTCATACGCACACTTTACCTTTATCTTAATTACCGGTATGTCCAACTTACATAGCCTCTCCTGAGCATTGCACTCTTATCACACCTTGTGCATACAAGGCCCTCAAGACTAATGAGTAGCCCTTTTCATGGTTAGCTTCTCTTATTTGCATTACAAGGTAGTCCAATGTGGATGCAAGACAAATTCGGGCTGAAACTACAAAATTGTCTTGCGTACATGCTAGATTATACTATAATGCAAACGGGAAAAGTTAATCACGAAAAAGACTTTTTCACGTTTTACCCTCTAGTAACCAGACCTTCGAGCTAGCTAGTTTCCCACACTTTGAATGTGCAATTCCAGAAAATATCCATNGGGGGGGGTCCAAATTAAACATCCTTCCAAAAGAAGGGTTTGGAATCATATTTTCTGAAACAAAAAATGAAATACCTGGAGACAAACACTTGAACACATTTGAGAGTATCAAGGCCAGTTTTTCTTCTGGCCAATCATGAAGAACACGGCACAATATGTACAAATCAGCCTTGGGTAGGTTAGGCTGAAAGAAATTGCCTGCAACGTAAGAAACATTTTCTTGATTGGGGCAATCTTCTGAAGATGGACGAAAATGATGAGCTACATCCATAACTGACTGCAGTTCACACACTGTGATCTTCATGTCAGGGTAATACTGACACAATGTGTATGCCATAGCTCCTGTTCCACCTGGATGTAAAAAGGGCAACATTTAATGTACAGCAGACATGTGACAATAATGCAGAAACTTGTCCTGCATACTAGGCTCAGACTAAATCTGAAGAGAACAAATTACAAAGACGACAGGTGAGGGTTGGAATAAAGAGCATGTCTCCTTTGTGACTGCACACCACTTAATTATACTCACACATTATTTACACATGTGCCTGGGAAAAACACTTCCCTCACAGTGCTTCCTCCACCCAAGAATATACGGATGGCTTGAGCTTAGCAGTTCAGAGGCCCTGAAAGGGTGGGGGGGGGNTGCAGTTATTCATGAATGTGGAATCACAATGAAGTTACATACAAAAATATTTTTATTGTTGGTTTAAAAAAGTTAATATGCAAACATCGAAGGCATGTGCTAAGATGCTGGTTTGCTAAACTTAGAGACCATTCAGTTTTTATGAATTGATAGAGGAGGGGGGAGCTGGTGGGATTTGATAGACAGTCCTTGTAATATATCATGACCTCTTCTTTGTCACAAATTTTCAGACTTGCTGCTGTTTGGTACATAACTTAGTAGTGGAGTCAGGGAGGCATGTTCCTCTAGGAAAATTTGAATTTCCAGAACCTGGGAAATGCTTAACATTTAATTTAGGCATGCTGGAAGACTTTTTTTGGCACTATTATACATGTAGATTGCTGTTGTTACACTTAATTGAGTGACCCCCCTTAAACGCATTTTTTCGGCCCCGTTGGTCCGTTGGTGACCGGATTAAAGGGTTCCACAAAAACTACAAATGGCCTGAAACTTGTTATCTCTTGTGTGAAATACGAAGCCATTACACACTACTCATGATTTCTTAGCTTGCTGACATGAAGACTCTGTTGATAATGCATTTTCTTTCACAGGCCGTAAACAGTTCCACTCAGTACCTACCTCCCAAGTCGCAACAAGATTGAAACTTGCTCAAGTCAAATGCCGTTACCACGCCGTGACAGGAATGGCGTGACGTTGAATGCATAGCTCCAAGAAACCGTAAGCGGTCTTCTTCCGTGTCGTAAACGGCTTTCCACAAATCTTCTGATGATTGGCCAAAAGTATTCATCCACTGATTCGATCCTTCGCGAACTGCACTTTCTAAATTACCGAAAAGATGGTACAACAGTTTATTCGAGTGTTTGAGGTAACCATCAACGGAATTGGTGCTTGACTTGGTCAGAAACTCCTTGGCCATTTCTGTATTGGAATACAACCACAGTTCGCCTTGTTTGGTCTTTTCTAACAATTCTAGAGCAACCAGAGTGTCCATTAAACGTGTTGTAGCATCCACATTGGCACTCATCTTTGAAGATATCTCTTTAGCTGACTGTGGTGCATCGGATTCGTGTAATAAATAGAAAACACCGAGATCACATGCTGCGAACAGCGCTTTGGATTCACGAAAAGCGTAAATCAGTTCTTGAAGTTTAGTAGGGATTGCAGGAGGAACTACGATCTCTTTTCTGCTAGCCATAGCCCGTGTGGTGAATATGGTTCGAATGAGACGAGGAAAGATAACCTTCAATCGGCTTCCCATTCTTAAACTGCAAAAGAATGGAACGAGAGAAATTTCGAGAGGGCGTGGACACTAGTCGCGCGCGTTTCTTTATCAGTGAACACAAACGCAAAAGGGCGGTATAGAGACTCAGAGATATCTTTCTTCTCGAGTCGTTAGTGCCTCATCCATGTCTTGTCCCAGTACCTTCTAGTCTGAAATGTCCCTGATTTGAGAGACAAACAGACTGCCAATAGCAGCGCGAAAAGGTTCTACAATTTTCACTGCTCCTAGGTCTCCGAGGTGAATGTCTTTGTGTAATTTCCAGTCTATCTGTAAATTTTCTAGTACGGTTTCTTCTTGAAAATAAATTTATGTCTTTTGCTAGCTAGGTAAGTGTTCGTACGGGTGAAAATGGAGAGGGAAAATGGGGAAAGCGAGGATCTTAAGGATACCAAGAAATCTTGGTCACTGTCCCAAATCAGTCAAAGAATCATGCACCAGTCATTTGAACCTCATCCTCCCCCCCCCCAAATTGGGGGATACCCGGGGCATTCACTTTTACTGTAGGTACTATGCAGTGAAAGCCCCGTCTTGCGGGGAAAAAATTTCGAGTGAGCTTCCCCGCCCTGTAAACATCAGGTGCAATTCATTAAAGAGATTACATTTTTTTTTAACAAGTGGAGCTTTCACAGGATTTTTTTCATACCACAGAAATCAAGGTTACTTTTTTTTTTCCTTCTTTCCTCTTCGTCAGTTGTTCAGCCCCCATGTTTTCTGCGAATATGCAACTTGAACCCAGTCTTCTAAGAGAGTTCGCGAACCGCGATTGAGGATCCCCTCCCCATCCCCTGTTGTAGATGCAGAAGTAGTGCAGACGTTTACTCAGAGTAAAGTTAAACAATTCAACACCTTTAATTACATTAACTTTATATCCAGGGTTACAGGAGAAAGCTTGATTCTCCTGACTGAATTTTTCCAGACTCTTTCCAATGCCCTTGTAAAGTTCAATTCGGTCACAAAATCAGTACTAACTAGACGTCTTCATAAAGGCTGGTTTTCACTAAGAGCCGGCATAAGCACAAGAACCAGCATAAGCAGAAGCAGAAGTGAAAACAGCCGCGACATTAACATAAACAAAAGCAGAAACACAAGAAGAAGGAACCCACTTACTTGTCTTGTGCAGTTTTCACTAGCAACGCGCTCGACATAAGCATACGCATAAGCACAAGAAAAACGGAACTGTTTGTTTTGCTTGTGCTTATGCTTATGCTTACGTCGAGCGCGTTACTAGTGAAAACAGCACAAGACAAATAAGTGGGTTCTTTCTTCTCATGTTTCTGCTTATGCTTAGGTTATGTCGTGGCTGTTTTCACTTGTACTTATACTTATGCTTGTGCTTGTACTCTAGTGAAAACCAGCCTTAAAGCCTGGTTCACACTTGTGAGATAAGCATAACACAAGTGAAATAAACACAAACATAAGCACAAGAAAAAGAAACATGTTCCTTTTCCCTTGTGCTTGCGCTTATGCTTATTTCACTTGTGTTATGCTTATCTCACAAGTGTGAACCAGGCTTAAGTCTTCGCTGGTTCCACCTGCCACAATCCTCTCAGTGCTATTGACGTGGCGTTCATGGTCCGCTAACATTAAAGTAATACAACTCGTCGCTGTTGTTGAAACACCATGATCTGTGCCAATTTTACTGTTTCCCACCCCTGATTAGCGGTGTTTAAAACTGGTGTTAAGAGCACGTTGTCAATTTTTGACCGTTGAAAAGGGGGATGGGGAGTTTTCAAGCATTTACTGGTCATGATAACGATGGCACGTTTTCGCAAATACTTCGACAAAACTCAACAAGGCTTTTGCTTTGGTAGCGCTCTGTACGACAGTTATTGACTAAGCAATAAGCAGTAACGTACGGGCACCTTCGGACTTGGGGGGCGATGAAAAATTATGTGGCTTATTGCCCGAAAAAAAATTACACAATGCCCGAAAGCTTGAGTAAAGTTAAAGGTAAAGGAAAAGGTAAAATCTTTATTTAGACACGGTATTTCCTTCACGACTCAACAATATTAAATTAAATTAATCTAACTACCTAGCTAATAAATCACTAATAACTACAGCAATGAGAGAAATGATAAAAAACCTGCTTTACAAGGAAGCCGTGCATGAAAGCAAAATGAAACTTACATAAGATTATGAGTGAAAGTGAAGAATGATCATCGCAGTAAATTGTCCAATTTAAGCAATTGGAAAGAAGAAGCCTGAAAAAAATCAGGGCTTCAACGGGATTCGAAC